CCAACAGAGATGATTCCGTGTACTGCGCGCTAGCAACGAATTACTAAGGAATATATTTGAAAACGTTGAGAGTAGCATATTTAAGCTTTGATTAGCTGGTGATTTATATTCCATTATGGGGAGTTCCCAATAAGTGGCAGATTATGTGCTGGGGATCAATGCGAAAAGTTATGATATTTTGATATACCGAACTGGAGCCGGCGCCTTAGCTATTGGTTGTATCTTGTTGGCTTATGCTCTTCCCAGCAAAAACACTCTTGGTATACAATACTTTTTTCCAAGTTCAGCACCCACAATCTATTGAGCAATAATAATTTCACGGAGACGTTGGGATATTTCTTCGTAGTTATGACACGGTGGTTCACTGTTAATTAGATGCTGTAGCAAAAAATTGTGATTGTTCTGCTTTACGGCGATTCCTGATTGCGCCTAACCATCCGGATCGTGAAGTTGTCGTGCAAAGCAACCTACTTTCTGACGCTTGTTGACCTAGCGAGGCAGCACCACTCTCACATTATTATGCATACACTCACATGCATATCGTATGCGGGTGTACATCATTAAGTCTTTATGCATATCTAACTTCCATCAATTATTAGCGCCATAGATGTGAGTTGAAAATTGCGCTTGTTAAAGTACATTTGTACATTCATATTGGACTTTACCTTGAATTCCCACTGACTACCCTAGTACAAAATGGTACAAATATTACAACCAAATCGGGTTCCAATAAAAGAACTTTATTAGAAATAAAGGCATTCGGAAACACCTTGTGTGTATCATTGCTCCACAGACGTATACAGCAATGGTATGTATTAGATATGAACAGCCCTTCATTTGTAATTATGTTATAACATCTGAGACCTCAGTTGAAAGCTTTTAGTACGGTGATAAAACAAGGATATTATGAGATTCACAGCCCACACAGCGCTGGTAAGACACCTCATATCATAACATCTGGTTGTTGAATAACAAAAATACACTCATTGAATTGTTGGCTTTTGATATGGCGGTATCCTTCCGACAGTTGGGTACATCGGCAACCAAATTTAGTTTGGGTATCTATAAATTCAGCTGTACGAGGTGAATTCATGAATTGGGTAAAATTAAACATCTTGGTTTCACTTTTCGAATAATATATGCGTGATAATCCATACTGATTGACTCCTATCTTTGTTCACTGTTACTAATCTCTTGATTAATATTTCCCTATATATCTGTAAAATTAATAGGTCATATCTTCCTCAAATTGTTATGTTTGAGTTCGAACATTGTTAATGAACAGATGTTAAATAAATGAACATATTGTTGTTATACATGAGTGTCATAATCTTGGTTTCCAATCAAGCCAGAAATTTCTGAATATAGAGGATATAGTCGTTCATTGTTGGTATAGGTCTCTTCGTCAAGTTAGTTTTAGCATCAGGAAGCAAGAAGGCAGAGGCATGCAGTTGATCATGTGGTTTCCAATACAATCAAAGGATAGCCACAATAAGAAACACAAGCACTATGAATTATTACAGGTACTATACATTTTCCGCCTGCCCCCCCCCCCCCGCGCCAGCACCTAAGTGCTCTGATCAGGGAGGTATTTTCATGCCTTATACTATGGTCTGTGGGTATTCTAAAATTTGTGTTAGACACAGATCAGGATGAAAAAACAAGCAATTTAAGTTTGGGGCTGAAAATGAGAAGAAAGTTGTTTTCCACACTGCCGTGAGGAAATAGATATCACCAAACATAATTGGGGCATTGAAAGGATTGGGAAAAGGCATACTCGTAAGAAGTCTGAGCTCACGCCTTCCTGTTCAGCGGAGAATGACATTTGATCATGAACCTCTGATATGTGCACTGATATTATGGTTAAATCTTGAGCTAATTATTATTAGTAGTGTCTACAAGGGCCTAGGCTCTCACCAACACTATTAATTTGTGGAATCGGGAACCTGTACAATTGTCCAAAACTCCAATTGTTCGCATGCTTTTTCGTAAATTTCTTTTTATAGCCGAGAACTTGCATGGATTATTCAAGGTTTGTACGCAGTGTGCACCTTATGCAAGTACAGACGTACAGACGTACAGTCAAGCAGGAACTTCGACGCTTTTATGGAAGCGCTAAGCTCCCCGTTCACCGGTAAAATCCGATACACAGGTTCCAAGTTCAGTGCACTGGTCTTTCGAGTTCAGAATAATTCTGGGATGGATCATCTCTAACTCAAAAGCCATAACAGCAAGGAATATACCCCACTCCTTTTGCCTGATCAATTTGGCACCAAGACTCCTGAGAACGTGACAATGCACAAGCTGTAGAGTTGGCATGCGAAGTTGAAAGCCTGTGATTCTGTCGTGAACTTTAGGTGGTCAAAATGTGTAGCATATATAATCCAATGATTATATTTATAAGACACATGTGATGTAAAATATTTCACATCAATGCAGTTGGAAGTTACTCAAGGTTGTGGTCGATACCAAGCGCTAGGGCGAGGAGTGTACTACTATGTTAGAGGTACATTGCTGTACAAATACGCTGTAAACATATGTGCGTTGTGATGGTTTGAGAACTTGCGTGTGAACTGTACAACTTTGTAAACTTCAATCTTGACTCGTAACGACAGAGAAGTAGTGAAGAAGGTTAAAATAAATAGTTAAGGTTGAATTTCTCGAACCAGTAAAGGTTCTTTTGTAATCTTTTAGGTCACCGATATAAACTCAAAAGTCGCACTTGACCATTATCCCGCAAAGTTCTTGTACAGGATTAATCGTTGCTTGATTTGTGTGTGGTTGGGTGAGGAGGGGAAATCTGAGTTTATATGTACTCACACCAATCAGCCAGTTTAGCCAAACCATTGGTGCCCAAAGCAGACGTTGACCTTCCAGTGTTATCCTTATCTCAAACTCTGGGCCCAAGTTCCATATGACACCACGCCTGTCCAGAATAGACCTTACTGCTTGAGGATCTATGGCTGTCCAATCCATATATCGTTTTAATTGGACTATCGAGGGGTGTAAAACATACGAAAACGGTTCTAGGTAAACTTTACGTTGGAACGATGGTGATGGTTAATTCTCCAAGAGTTGTATACTATGAAATGAACAAAGACAGTCATCATGGGTGTACCAAATTGGAAAACACGTGCTGTTGATGACCCCATTTAGCGATCGAATTGTTAATTCTTGTGATAACTGTATATGTTGAAAACAGAAGAAACAGACGCTGTAAATCCAATACAGGTGAAATGGTCCTATAATGAATCTATTACTGACATCATACCTGGTTTATTTGTTCAACCGTCGCACAGCTCTAATCAGGAAAGACTGGTGTGGAGAGTGAATCATAAGATGACTACAATGATGAATAACCTTGAAGAATTCACACCCTCAACAACCTTAGATCACATGAGTAAAGGTTTAGCAATGCAATGAACGACCTCCTTAATGAAAGATGCGTTTAATTTAAATATTTAGTAATATTTTGTTAATTCCAACCTTGTCCACTGTAGATATCAGCAAGATGTAACAGTTAATTCGCAAAAATGCCTTCCTGTTCTTGTTCCAAAATTTACATATAGCAATACCTGGAGCAGCTGTTCCAAGTTAACTGGTTACCAATTTTGGCAGATCAAAGCGCTGAACGCTGTTAATTTTTCAGACAAGAAGTTAATATTGAAGCAGGTTTGAGAACTTCCCATTAGAGCCTTGAAACATGCGATTTCCAAATTGCAATTATAATAGCTTACCGCAGCTCAGGTGACACGCTGTATCAAGAAAATCAAAACTTTGAAGCCTCTAACTTTAGGCATTAACATTACTCTTCATACTTGTATGCAAGCATGTGTTGTTTGCGTAGTTTAGCTGGAGGTGGTTCGGTTTTCGGACTTTAGGCACTAATTGCTCTCTTAAAAGTTGCAACTAATGTACTTTTAGGTATTCGTATGTCACAGATGACTCAACCAAAATTCTGGCCGCATGTACTTACATATACATACACTTTCTATTTCGTGAAATCATAGACAGATGCTTGCATCTGCATTGTAAGATCTGCAACAGCTATCGCATAACAATGCATGAGATATAGTCTTCAGAGTTCTTTGCCGCTTGAACTGTGATATGAACGTTTGACCTTTTTATCTTTCAAGTTTGGACCTTCTAGAGAATGCATATACAAACCACGGACCAGGCTGGTTAGGGTTACACAAGTTCTTCGTGACCATTGAATTTTAGAGGTTGCTCAAGCTCAGATTTATTTTGATGAATTAATGTTTGCGAATCGAAGCCAGATTATTTTTCTTTCTTTTTCTTTTTTTTTTGCGCTCTTCGCACGGATACTGATTCCATTACCCCTTATGTGTGCGGAATGTTGTGGAAGCCTATCTGAATAAACCTCCGCTCTTGTGATTCAGATGGTCTGTTGAAGTTTGGAAACCGCCCAATTCGTGTCCTGAGTACTCTTCACCTCTTGAGTTCGAGTTCATAATCAGTCCAAGAGAACTCTTCGTAGTGGCAAGTGAACTCGTTCTCCCCAATTAGACAGGTTAATTAGAGCAGTGTCATGAAACAGCCTTCCGCAATAGACTCTACAGTTAGCGACCAGATGCCGAATGCGGCTAGAATAACTAATGAGCAATGACAATTTCGAATAAAAGGTGTAGACTTTTTCAACTCTATGACCAGTGATTTTGATTTTGATTCTGTTTAGTTTGAAACGACCCGGACTCAAATCTGAGCTGCATATGGACTTCATAGTTGTTTATCCAGTTACTACAGAATCCAGATATAAATTGTTATGAATTATGAATGAATCATTATATCGCAACTTTTCAGCATTCTCCACAAACTCCTAACCTCCTCTAACCATTCGAGTTCCAATATTTTCTCTCTGACGTACTATGTTGGTAGAAGCGACGTGCTGAAGAAATTCCAAGAAAGGATGGGTTAAGTTTTTAATGAATGATCATTGATCACTATTCGGCAGTTGTTTTGTTCCAATGACTATCACGGGCATTGACAGTGTTATGCCTTGATTAGGATGAAAGGCCAAGGGTTTGCAAAATGGGTTTCTTTTCGACGTTAAGTGGAATAATTGCTCGATATAGCTGATCAATATTCACTTATAACATGTCGAGAATCAAGATGTTTCGCTTTGGAGATGGATTCAAAGGACAACGAACAGTTTCTCTTCAGAAATAACGATGTCAAGAAACAGCCACAACAGATCACAAGAAAAATCTATCGTCGTGAGTTAGAGATTCAAATAGCTGGTTAAAAGAGAGCTGATACCTCAAAAGACATAGTCGAGTCGGTGAGGGCAACTATGGGAATCAACGAAATGAGTATCACAAATTTCTCCCTCTATCAAACAGCTATGTAAAGTTTCTCACAGACTATATAAGGAAGTTGCTTGCATAGTTTAAGAGCTGGAGAGTTGATTCACCAAGAGAAAGTGGATATTGACACCCTCATAGAGAACTAAATTACAGTCATGTCAAGCTCATGAGTGAAAACAAAACCAGGTACATCTGCTGAATTTCGTATTTCGTTGTTTCTGCTCTATCTCAATGTAACTTCACTCTCTTCTTAGGTCGAATGGAGCACATTATGCTTTTACAGTCGAAACGCATTGTTCATATATAGCATCAACCAGTGTATATGTAAAATCAACCAGTGTATATGTAAAGTCAACCAAAGTTAAGCAAAACTTTACAGACAGAAACGTGGTAAAAGTACGCGCAGAGTGTAAATCAATGATTAATGCAGTTATAACTCATTCTTCGTCATCCTACATTGATGATCAACACGATGTTGCTTTTTTACTCAATTCTCACTTGTTAGAACTCTTGGAGGGGCATTCTGGTTTAGTGTCAAAAGTGTCAATCCAGATTCAGCTTTTAGATGACTATAATTATGAAGCCAACGGATATTCAAGGTAAAACAATTTGGAGTTGAAACATTGTTCTCAGAGCAATTATTCATGTGTGTGTGTTTCTCAAGAGTTACACTATTGTTGAGACGCATGGTATTAATCTTGCAGTTTTAATATACCCTCTTGTCGTTATTCTAATGACAGTTCATTTCTTCAAACTCACCTTTATTTTGAAGTACCTGAAAAAAGCTGCCAAATATTATACCCCTACCACTTCTCCCTTACAGCACAATTAGTGGATCTCCATAGTTATAGCCAGTGGAGGCAAATGTCTAGACAATTCAAATGTTCTTTCTTGGTTAAGAACCATGCAAGGAGAGATCAACGTGGGGGATTCACGCTTGTATTTGTACGATCTAAGAAGCCTGTGATGCCACCAAGAGCGTCATGAGGATGCCATTAGCATATCTAACGGTTCATTTGTGGAGCTTCTGTCTAGATGGCGTACGCTGAAGCCCGACTTCGGTGACTTTGATGCCATTGGTCAATCCTTGTTTCACCTGCTGATATCCTTTCTTGTTGTCTAAAGTTGTTCAATGAGGAATGTAAGACGTCATTAAACGAAGATTGCACAATAAGCAGGCACATTACCAATCACCTATTCCACCAGGTTTTCTACATATCATTGGCTGACGCTGAATGTATCACATTGACTTTACAGTATAAGTTCATTGTGCATATGACTTGCCCAAGATAATCCAACTAAACCCCCATGCTTCATAGCCTTTATTTTAGATAGCTGTTGTAGTTAGTAAAGAAGTAGATGTAATCCGGTACACGACACACAGGTGGTGTCTGGATGTATCCTCATCGCCCAGCTGGTGTGATTGTCTCCACGATGCTTGTTTACTTCTCCGTACTGTTTGGTATGGTTATTGGAGAAGCGGAAGAACATTGACGTGGAAAATGGCTCTCGAGTCTCTTATACCAAAGTTCAGGTTCTCACGAATCCTCAACTCCAACGCCAATTCGAAATCTGTTGCGCTTTTAGGAACTGTCGAAGGACACGGCGAGGACCAGGCAATCTTACTATTAGAGAAGTCACTCTTTAATCTTTCCACTTTTGACTCACTATCCTCTCAAATCGATCAGGTTCTGACGAGTGCAGAGAACGATATATATCAATGGGGTACCGGTACTTTGTACTCTGATGTGCAGCAGTCTCCAGATATTAAGATATCTTTGATCTTCCCAGCAACGGAGACGCATATCAAGAAACACGAGACACAACAGTTCCACATGGTTGAAGAGACTCCAGAGCTTTATAGGAAATTAGTTGTCCCATACATTAACTCTATGAAGGGAGATCGACTTCAATGGGTTAGAAATATCCTGTTTGACGGTGCAGAAGCTGAAAGAGTTGTCTTCAAATCCGAAGGGGAAGAGGGCTTTGTGATTCTCCCAGATTTGAAATGGGACGAGGTTAACATAGAACAGTTATACCTCGTGCTTATTGTAAACAGAGAGGACATTGCCAGTATCAGAGATCTCAACTCCTCTCATATTGAATATTTAACGGCCTTAAGAGAGAGGGCATTGAATGCCGTTTCAATGAAGTACAGTATTGCCAAGGATCAGCTGAGGCTCTTTGTACATTACCAACCAAGTTATTACCACTTCCATATCCATATTGTGAATGTCCAGCACTCTGGGCTCGGTGGCGGCGTCTCTGCTGGGAAGGCCATTCTCTTGGAAGATATCATTGATCAACTACAATGGTTGGGAGAGGAAGGATTTGAAAAGAGAACTCTTACTTATTCCCTCGGGGAGAACACAAAGCTATGGGCATTGCTAAAGGATGCTATATAGAGAGTGTATATGTATACCCCGTATTTGACTGAATTTTGTCTAAAGAATTAACACGTGTAGATCTTGTAGGTCTTCTATACTGATAGACTTTTTTTTTAGGTGGAGGACTTTGTCATGTTCATCAATTATGACACAGGCTCAATCGACAATCAACCAGTTCAATGCCAAGGAAGAGAGAATTACTCGGATTTGATTCTTCAGACTCAGATACCGGAGACAGTGAGCCCGAGTTGAAGAGGTCTCGCAAGACCAAAGTGGTGTTTAAACCCTTAACACTTGGAGAGGAAGAGAGCACCACTGGCGATGAACTTGACAAGTGCCATCGACAGGTGGACTACCTAACAATGTCCATTGAAGATGATGAATCTAAGAAGCCAGATAAGCCCAGAGAGAATACTACCATGTCTCATGTCGAGAGAACCCTTGAGAATCTCAGGAGACCGTTGTTTGGTCAAATAGTCGATGATCAGGGAGAGCACCAGGTTATAAGGCCCATTGCTACTAAGTCAAGGGGGTTATCTATCATGGAGAAGATGGGGTTCAAAGTAGGCGATGCCTTAGGGAAAGACCCTCAGGATGATACTGCTTTAAGAGAGCCTATTGCTGTATCTTCAAAGACTGACAGGGAAGGTATACGTGATGGATTGAGGAAGGGAGACGTTGATAAAGCGTTGTCTCCAGGCATCACGCTGGAAGACGAGAAGAGTTTTCAAAAGAGGCTTCAGCATGACCGGGATCAACAGCACAAGCACAGACTCGTCGAGAAGCTGCAAAGACTGTGCTACGAGTTGGTTGACGGTGAGACTGATATCTACAAGGCCAAAGCGCGTGACCTCAACGTTATGTGGAGAGGTTACGTGGTGGATGTCCAGCGCAGGAAGAAGACCAAGGACACCATTGACACTGAAGAACACCATGGAGAAGCTGGTGAGTACGACGAGGATGACACCGCCCAGATTGATACAGAGTTACAGCTCTTTGACGAGGAACCCCTGGATACGAAGCTCAGCAAGTTGAGCCGCCACCTGAGAGCCAACTTCAACTACTGTTTTTGGTGTGGCGTACAATACGACAGTCCAGAGGACTTGTTCGCAAACTGTCCCGGCGAATGTGAGTCAGATCACGTCTAGAGGCATCTGAATATAACAATTCCATGATTTGTAGTTACAGCTCTTCTCTTTGTAGATGTTGTTGTTGTTGTTGTTGTTGTGGTTTGTTGATGTTGCGTGTTTTGAAAATTCGGACGGGCTTAACGCTTTGTTCCAGGTGCTAAAACTTCACCAACCTTGGGCGGCTCAGTTGACCATCAATGTCTCGCTATCACCAAATGCCTCGTCCAGTATCAAGCTCGAATATCTCTGCGCTGAGGCTGGGGACTCCTGAAGTGTCGGCAACGGTGAGGGAGCGGAGGGTTGCCCAGCTGCCGATTTCTCAGAATCTCGACGAGTTTGAAGTGACGCTCCAATCGTTGCTGACGTCGATATCGAGATACTCGCCGTCGGTATCTGATGCTGAGAAGCTGTTAGAGATTGAGAGCCGGCTGACCGTGTCGTTGGATAACATCATTGCCCATCAGAGAGCAGGCCTTGACATTGATTCGCTAGAACAGCAAAGTTCCATTTTGGACAGCAACTGTCGGGAGATCATCATTGGCCTGAGTGATTGCAGAAAGAAGTTGATGGCACTTCCAAGCTTGGAGAGGGTTCAGAATGAGAAGAAAAGCATGTACGATGAACAGATAAAGGCTGAAGATTTACTCTCGTACGCAATGAAACTGGCAAAGTTCACCACTGCGCCTGCTACTTTTGATTCTGGGGCCATTGGCCCAAATAACTTCATATGGCCAGCAGAGGATTCTCTTAGAAGAGGGATGCTCGCAATAGCCTCGTTGAATGAGGATGAGCTCCTGGGAATCAAACCAGATGTTTCTAAAGATGGGGAGAACAATAAGGGCGAGGAAGATGAATCCACTCAAAATAGACGTGGTTCATTTGGTGCATACGGAGGCAATGACGACGGTGATGATGGTGCCAACGTCATTGAGGATCTGGACTTGTTCGATATGGATGATTGATAAAGATAATAATAATAATAATAATAGTATTGAGATATTGCTTCCGTATATACAAGTTAACATTTCAACTGCTTTCTCCCTTGTAATGATCGCCAAACATCTCAGATGGATGGTTGTAGATGTCTGTTCCAGTACCAATTTCACAATCAAATGGCAACTGCTTAGAGAATAGCTCACCAGACTTAAGATGTGACGAGACCACATCAGCAAGACCTTCGATAAAGATTGGCGAGTCGTTGAGGGAATCGGCCCTTTTAATCTTATCGGGGAAATCAGAGTCACTCTTCAATTCGATATCAATCTCGTGAAGAGTCTCGATGTGGTCGCTTGTGAAAGCGATAGGAACAATGATGATTCCAGCAGCTTTCTCTTCGATTCTCTTGGTGAAAACAGCAGTCTGGGCACCCAACCAAGGCTTAGGGCCAACCTGTGATTGGTACAGCACACGATAAGGATTGCTGAACCCGAGTTCCTCCATCACTGCGTACGAAGTAGCACCAACTTCAGCAGGGTAAGCATCACCGTTGTTAATGACGTCCATAGGCAAGGAATGAGCAGAGAATAGGATCTTGACATCGCCTCTCACATCTTCCGGGAACTCAGCCAACTTATCCCTAATGTTCTTTGCAAATGCCTTCACCAGGCCTGGATGTGTTGGCCAACGATCAATGGCAGTCCATTCAATCTTTCTCTCGGGATCGTGGATTTGAGTCTGTCTCCAGAGCTCATTGAAGGTCGACCCAGTGGTGGAATAACTGAACTGTGGGTATTGTGAGAACGCAATAGCCCTTGTCATCCCATCCTTGTGCAATTGCTGGATGGTCTCTTCCGTGTACGGATGAGCATAACGGAAGGCAACGTAAGGCTTGTGAGGAGCAGTCTCAGGGTTCGTCTTGTCAAGGATCTTACAAGCTTCCTGGGCCTGGTACTTCGACCATTTCAAGATTGGAGATCCGCCCCCAATCTCGGAGTAGTACTTCTCAATCTTTGGCGTACGTCTACTCGTGATGAACTTCGCTAACCATGGCTGGAAGCTACCGACTCCGAGATTGATCAAATCTTTATCAGAGAACAACCTGTACAGGAAGTCGCCAACCTCTGGGATGGTTGAAGGACCTCCCATGTTCATCAGCACAACCGCAGTTCCCTTATGATCTCGCTTGCGAGACGTGGAAGAAGAGCTGAACTGTCTTCTTCCGATACCAGCGATTCTAGACACAACCATTGCCTTTCACAGTTTCAAACAACGACGACAACAGCAGCAAGAACAACAACAACAATGGTTGAAAGGGAGGAAAGAAACATCACTTAAAAATAGTGGAAAGTCCGATATGATGGGCAACATCGTATAGGTACGTGCGCCAACCAGGCATCTCAGGCCGAACAATCTTTATATGCCCGGTGAAGTTCACGAGCTCTCAAAAGGCGTGAAATTTATACGAAGCCGTCACTCAACTGTCGAGAAAACACCCAGATTGCCTTGACTTTGCTGCCAGTGATTGATCACGCCATGGTTCAATTCGTTGCTAATAAGATTGCAGAATGGTCGCTGTCAACAGGTGTTGATGAGGCGACGCTGAAATTGGCGATTTGCTTGTTTGCTTCGTTTCCTCTCAACGCCATCTTGAAGAGGTTCCCAGATCGGGACGTTACGTTGAAGAACTGCTATGTCGTGACGATCTCCATGATTTACCTGTTTGTGATCTGTGACCTGTATAGCGGGTTCCGTACGCTGTTTATCAGTTCTTGCTTCACCTTCTTCATCACCCGTTATTTGAATTCTAACCTGATGCCTCTGATCAACTTCACGTTCGTCATGGGTCATCTTGCACTGAACCATCTGTCCTTACAATTTTTCCAAGACTACGACTCCACTAAGATCGACATCACAGGTGCTCAGATGGTGCTTGTGATGAAACTTTCTGCATTCGGTTGGAACGTTCATGACGGAAGACAACCAGAGTCTGAATTAACACCGGCTCAGAAGTACAGAGCTGTTAAGGAGCATCCTTCGTTTCTAAGCTTTATGAGTTTTGCCTTCTTCTATCCTTCGTTGCTAACCGGTCCTTCTTTCGAATTCGTCGATTATCAACAATGGCTGAACTCAGAAATGTTCTCCGACTTACCGGAAAGTAAGAAGCCAGGTAAGAAGAGGAAAAGAGCAATTCCAAAGTCAGGTAAAGTTGCCTTCTACAGAGTCTGTCAAGCAATTGGATGGCTTCTAATCTGGCAAAAGTCCAATGGCTATGTTCAGATGTCCTACTTGTTTGAGAAGGATTTCTTGTCGCAGAATTTTGTCTCTAAAGTTTGGTATCTGTACGTGCTCGGATTCTCCTACAGATTGAAATACTACGCTGCCTGGACCATCTCTGAAGCATCATGTATCGTCTGTGGGTTGGGCTACAACGGATATGACCATGAGACAAAGACAATCTTATGGAATAGAGTACAGAATATCGACATTTGGGGAGTTGAATCCGCTCAAAATATACACGTTGTGCTTTCAGCATGGAACCAGAACACGAACAAATGGTTGAAAAATTATGTCTATCTAAGAACCGTTAAAAAGGGTAAGAAACCAGGGTTTAGAAGCACGCTGGCTACTTTCCTCACTTCTGCATTCTGGCATGGCACGAGACCAGGTTATTACTTGGCCTTTGCCACGGGTGCCATCGTTCAAACTTGTAACAGAATGTATAGACGTAACTTGAGACCAATGTTCCTTGAAGCCGATGGAATCACTCCAAAGGAAAACAAATTCTGGTATGATGTTGCATCCTACATTGCTACACAGGCTGCGCTGTCTTATATGGTTCAACCGTTTATGATCCTCGACTTTAAGAAATCCCTTTACGTCTGGGGCACCGTCTATTACTATGTCCACATCATTATGGCTTTGACAATTTTTGCATTTGCAGGACCTTTCAAGATGCAAATCAAAGCTTACTTACAGAAGCATGTTCCTGTGCAGAAGGAATCAGTGACTCAAATCATCAAGGAAAAGGCAGAGAACGAATCTCAAGATGACGTCCACCTGGGTATTCCGGAGGCTAACTTTGATGATCCTGACTTCGTGAACAAACTTGCAAAGGAGCTCGAAGATATCAAACAGGATATGAAGGATTGGCAAGACTGCAATGGTCCTGAACTTGAAGAGGAGAACTTGAGAAGGGCCTTTGCTAAGCTGTCTGCTGACCTTGAAGACTTCAAGAAAGAAGCAAAAGCAGATATTGAAAGACGCCGTGCAGCTAGGGAGGAGAACAAGGGAAAGAAAACAAAATAAATTGTACATATCTAACATGAGTCAACATTCATTCACTAATTTCTGGCCGAAACCATTGTGTATCCAGCTTCTAAAGCTTGGGTTACTTGATCGTTCTTGACAGGAAGTGCATTCAAAACAAACGCAACATCGTTCCACTGTTGTTCATTCTCAACTTTGGACAATCTCTGTAATAATTTTTCACTGAGTTGCTTTTGATGTCTCTCCTTTTCAATGAAGGAAAGCAAGAACTTGAGAATGTGCTTCATGGAATCCTTCTCCAAGTTCTTATCATTTGACAATCCACTGAAAATATCAATGAATCCATTATATATGGCATTGTCCTTACCTGCTAGTTCGGTAAAGAATAATCTACACATATCACTTATACCTTGATCCGGATCCTCAAGGCACAACGCCATTTGTGAAAGTTGACCCTTAACTTTAACCTGGCCAGCTAAAATCAAGAAAGTGATGGTCATCAAACATGTACGTTTAACCATCAAATCCTCATCATGTAGACGACGATACAAGAAGTCGGTGTTCTCATCCACAAGGTTGTTAAAACAAACAGCCATATCACCAAGACCCAAAACGGCATTCGAGCGGATTACTGGATCATCAGACTTCTCCATGATGGTAATCAAGAGGGCCAAGTTATCTTCACAATATTTGGAAGAAACACACATCAATTTTTCCAAGCATAAGACAGCGGATCGTTGGAGAATCTTGTTGTCGTATTTCAAATTGTTCAGGCAGATTTCCCTAACCATGGGCCCAAATCTCATCAAGAGCGAATGTTCACCGTATAGTAATTCTTTCTCCTTGATGAATGTAATAGCATCGGCAAAGTCATCTTCCGATGTACCTCCTATCATTTCAAGCTCATTGGTATTAGAGTTCTTCTCGTCTGACTTGGTGATCTCAGCCTCAATCTTCTTCCTTTTGAACTGCGTTTCGAGTGCCTCCAAGTGTACAATAACCTTGATAGCCACATGTCCAACAATGAACAAAAGCTGTGAAAGGGAAACCAATTGGGATTGGTTTTCGTTGTGAGCACTAAATGTCATACGTGTCTTCTCCTTTATAATTTGGGTAGAAACTTCTTCCGGATGATGAGAGAGTGTAAATATTGCGTTGATAGCCGGTTCAGCAACGCTATAATATTCACTATTGGCATTGTACTCAACAAGAAGAGAGCCAAGTCTCTTAACAACCTCCTCTTCTCTTGGGATTTTGAATGTACTCTGCTTATCGCCTTGTACAACAGCACGATTCAATGCTATACAGGAATATTTGGCCAATAAGAGGTCCTGTTTACCTTTTTCTCCGAGACCAATGGATAACAAAGAATCAAGACCACGAAGTGAAATTTCATGGTCAGATAATGCAAGCATACCCAATACTATTATAGCGCCACGACGTTGCTTTTTAGAGAATGTTTCATTCTGGAAAGCATAAATCTGCCATAGAACTTTAACCACTGCTTCATTGATGAGGGAAGATTCGTACATCATACAGAGTAACTTTTCCAAAGATACAAGTTCGGGAACACTAGCATTGTACGTCAAAGATATCAAGTTTTTAGCTATCAAAGCGGCAGCTTCAACCTCTGATGCATCATCTGGTGCCAATAAGAACAAATTCTTGTAGCACTCCACTAGATGTGTTGCAACGTTTGTTCCCTCATCATTGTTACTTTTCATCCATACCAGGTGGAGCATCTTACGTATACCAGTATTGATTGTTTCAACCGCATAAGCATCTGCAAGTACGAAGAAGTCCATTGTTTCGATAACTTCGTTCTTGTTCTTAGAGTAAAGTAGTTGAGAAGCCACAGTGACACCCCTATGAAGAAGTTCAATGAATTCAATAGCGTCATTGTAGTATTGAATCGTCAATTTAACTTTGAAGATTGCATTTGAATCGCTTTCCTTTTCAATTCTTGAGGGAAGTTCTGAAAGCTCATCATCTCCATTTTCTGATTCCAATTCCAAATTCTTTTCAATTACGTCATCTGCCGTTTCCTGGGGTTCAAGTTGCTCGAGCTCTTTTTCCGCTTCTTCAAGTCTCTTTTTCCATGTAGATAACTTGAGCTGTGTTCCATGTAAGGCACCAAATGGATGCGTCAATATGAGTCTCGACATTAATCTGACAGCATTTCTTCTAACCAAAGAACTCTTATCCTCCAAACTTCGAACTGCAAGTTGTAAGAACATTTGACGGTGTTTAGTGAATTTTGCATCAGCATCGCATAGCTTTAACAAGGACTGTACAGCTTTCGTTCTGACATATGGGTTTTGATCCAAGAACCTCTCCACGAGGAGATCTAACAATGCAGAAACAGAATTTTTATGACGTTCCAGCTCATCCTCATCTTTACTAATTTCAACAACAATATTACCACATGATTCGACAACAGCACAGCGTAATGTGTAAGAAGTGTTGTTTAACAGTTGTGAAACTAGAGTCATCTGCTTAAGTAACACACGAGGTACAAGTTCAGAGACTTTCACAATAAAGAGCGATATCTGTTTCGGTCCATTGTTGTCATTAGCATTGAACTCCTTGTTACTGACTTCTCTCAAGACATCTTCTGTTAGCTGCGGATAGTCATACTGATCATTCAGTATTTGTAAGAGCTCAGCCATGACAGAATTCAAATGGCCAAAATATGTCAAATTTTGTATGATTGCACTTTGAGCAGCTGACGCGTGTCCATGGAACTTCACAGCCATGGATATGACTTTGAACATGTACATCTTAAGTCCAACAACTTTAATTCTTGGTTCGCTCTCCATCAAGACATAAATTGGTCTTGTAAACGCGCCGATAAACAAGTCCTTTTCCGGTGTGGTGACAAATAGCTTTGAAAGGTGTAGCTTCAAGCAGGTACACACAGATTCCATTAATGTCTCTAAATGGGTACAGTTGGCCTTGAAGCTTTCCAATGCACCAGCTGTAACCCTTTTCGTTATGGAATTAGTAGCAATAGGTTCTAGTCCCAAATGAGTGAAGAGACAGTGTACGAGGTACGAATATGCCTCCAAGAGTTGTTTCTGTGAGCTAAACGCATCTGTTTGGCCACTTTCAATCACCGCTGCCGCATTATCACATTGATTGTGTAAGCATGACGCTATGATCTGTACCAATTTGCCTTGTTGTTTCTTACTCAAGGTGGGATAAGCCAATACCAGTTCCTCTAACGATTCCCAAATATTTGTGTCCACTATCGACTCTGATGATCCGCCTAGGGCTGCTTCGACTTCATTGAATAAGTTCGATGGATCAGAGCATGTGAATGAGCCTTGTTCCGCTTGTTGAAATGCAATAAGCGCTTCAGAAAGATTGAAATCCATGTGTTTGTGTGCTCTTAACCTCCAGCTATTATATTGTTTGTTTACTATTAAAGATTTGATGATTGTTTTTGTTTTTGTTTTTTTCCGCTTTTGTGTCCTCCTCTTCAAACTTTGTCGCCAACAAAACAAAAACAAATCGAGCATCCTAAGCGTTGTCATGGAAACCATAAAAACTTTAGGTTGATGTCTGGATGTAATGTTGTTGTGTGTTTTTTTGCTTTTTTTTGCTTTTTTGTTGGAGTTTTACCATCGGGAATTGTTCAATTGGGCGAAAAGAAAAGATCACGAAAACCCACCACAAACGCTGCACAGGGTAACTGAATCTCCACTTTCCACATTAGAGTTGTTGTTGTGTACAATTTATCCTCGGGTTGTTTTAAGGCTTTTTATCTCCACACCCCCACAAAGTTCTTACTCCTTTTTTTCAGCTTGAACTCCTTCTTTCATTTATATATAATGCTTTCAAGAGTAGCAAGGGCAAACAGTATAAGACAACTCAGTGCATCAAGAGTTTCTGCAATGGTGTCATATTCCACAACCACAGTTCCACCTCAGGAGGAAGACGATGTTATTTTTGAGAACTATAACGCTGCCAGAGTAATTACGCTCAACAGAGCTAAGAAGCTCAACTCTTTGAACACCAGCATGCTGACCAAGATTTATCCACGTATGGTTGAATACTCAAAGTCTGACTTGACAAAGGTGATCATTCAAAAGTCGAACGGTAGAGCTTTCTGTGCTGGTGGTGACGTTGCAGAGTGTGCCAATGCCAACATAGCTGGAGAGCCGGCCAAGAGTGTTGAGTTTTTTCAGAAGGAGTACTCTCTGAATTACCTATACTCGGGATATCCAAAGCCAGTTGTTTCGTTGACCCATGGCATCACAATGGGTGGTGGTGTTGGTCTTTCTGTCCATACACCATTTAGAATTGCCACTGAAACCACCAGGTGGGCAATGCCAGAGATGGACATTGGTTATTTCCCGGATGTTGGAACCACATTTGCATTGAATAAAGTTGTTCCAAGTTCATTTGGATGGTACTTGGCCCTTACTGGTGAAAGCATCTTTGGGTGGGACGCCTACTTTGTAGGCTTGGCTACCCATTATGTGCCTTCTCATAGATTGCCAGAGCTCATCAAGGCATTATCCACGGTTTCCTATTCCAATGCTGACCCATTCACCGTTGTCAACAACGTTATCGAAGATTTCACGGAGTCCTTGCCACAAGGTTACAAGTTCAAGTATTCTGTCGAACAATTACAATTGCTCGAAAAGGTGTTCCACGAGTCTGCTACGATTGAGTCTATCTTTGAAGATTTAGAGAAGGCAAACACGGAATTTTCATTGGCAACATTGGAAACCTTGAAGAAGAAATCACCACTATCTTTAAAGGTTGCTCTTGAGTTGCTCCAACGTGGATCACAATCTAATATCCATGAGGCTTTGACCAATGAGCTTCATGCTGCAAAGCAATTCATGAAGGACTCTGACTTCAACGAAGGTGTCTCTGCAAAACTCATTAGAAAATCTAAGGAAATTCCAAACTGGAAACACAAGTCTCCATCTGAGGTCACGGTCAAGGAGATCCTTCCATTTTTGAAGTCCGATGCCAGCTTACAATTGGATAACCATTTCAACTTGACCTTTACCGAGTATCCACACAACTTTGGTCTTCCAAAGGAATCAGAGATTCGTTCTTTCATTGATGGCGCGGATGGTGTCCTTGAGAAGGGCACAGTAACAAAGCAAAATGTCTTTGATCATTTCACTACCCATCCAAAGTATGCGCACAAATCAGGAATCATTGAGTACTTGAACTTGGTGTTGAGTACAAGAGTTGACTCGGTTGATCAAAAGTTGAAGTGGAAGTTATAATCGTCATTTGAGCAGTTTGTACATAGAGATTTAAATAAATCATTATATTGACATATATATCTATATATATACTCATCAATCGTTAGTTCTCTCTATTATATCCTTGACCGAGGGTTCTAACTCTGAAAACTCAGTGCTGATCTTTTGCGCCAACACGTCCCGTAGTTGTCTCATTGCAACCATTTTGCCTCTCAAGTATTGATTTGATTTCCTCGTTGCTTCCACAAACTCTCTAGTGTACACGTCAGGATTTCTTCCATCTTCAATGTATTGTACTACATCCAGAGGTATTTGAACGTTGTCCAATGCAGTCAGATTTGACCTTTGAAGCTTTTCCAAGTTTTCCACAGTGGAGTTCATCACAATAGCTAACCCGTCACGGGAGCTCTCTGTGCCTTGGAAATCATGAACTTGTACCAATAACTCGGTTGTGATATCAGTGAGGTTGTGTAATATGTTCTTTGCCGATTCTATAGCTTCATCTGTATTTGTTGACGCCATTGTTGTGTCTGCTTGCTTCTGTCTTAAGCAGTGTTCAACATTATGTCCTTGGGGTTTTTTTGCTGTGTATTAGAGTAGTGCGCGATCCAGATGCATTTTGAATATATATGGAATCCAGATCTTGGTATATCTGTATTAGGAAGTCAAGATATTTAATACAGCCACAACTAGCCACAGTTTAGCCACAGTTTAGCCACATGGAAAAAATTTGGCGTAATTCACGTGAAGTGAAGTAAACCTTATTCAATGGAAGAGAGTTAGATTGTATTTCTCTTCTGTCGAAGGATAGAAAAAAAATTTTATTCTCTCTCTCATACTTTCTCACATATCGTATCGTTGTAGTTGTCACTGGTTTATGGTATTGAATAGACGTTGACTGCATTCACCACACTTTAACTGACAACATCTTGCTTCTGTGCCTCACATCTACACCTACATACCGATATAATTACACCAAACACGAGATGACAACGACAGAAGTGCAGCTTTCAAAGACCCAGATTAAAACCAAAAGCGTCAAGACGTATGACATCAAGGGTAAAGTGATACTTACACAAGAACATTTGGATCATCTCAACTCAAAGTTAGCAGATTTATCCCCAGAACAGATTCTACAATGGGCCACGATAACTTTCCCGAATCTGTACCAAACCACTGCATTCGGTCTATCCGGATTAGTAACGATTGACATGCTAGCACAGATGGGTAAGAACACAGAGCTGATCTTTATCGATACGCTTCATCATTTCCCACAAACCCTTGAACTTGTTGAGAATGTCAAAGAGAGATATCCACAGAATAAAGTAAACGTTTACAAGCCGATGAAGGCCGCCACGGAGTTGGAGTTCGAAAAGGTGTACGGCGAGCAGCTCTGGGAGACAAACGAGGACATGTACGACTTCCTTGTCAAAGTCGAACCTGCACAGAGAGCATACAAAGAGTTGGACGTTGTTGCCGTCTTCACCGGTAGAAGACGGTCACAAGGAGGAGCCAGAGACAAACTCCAAATATTGGAGATTGACGAGGCCTCAAACATTATAAAGATTAACCCAATGGCCAACTGGAGCTTCGACCAGGTCCTTTCGTACATCAAGCAGAACAACGTCCCGTACAACGAACTCTTAGACCTGGGTTATAGATCAGTGGGAGATTACCACTCAACTGCTCCAGTTGCCGAAGGTGAAGACGAGAGATCGGGAAGGTGGAAAGGTCGTGTCAAGTCAGAATGTGGAATCCATCAAACTTCAAAGTTCGCACAGTACTTGAACTCGTTAGTTGAGACCAAAGAGTAAGACAAGTCAAATCAATAAACTATTTATTCCAACCGTTCGTAAATAAACAATACAAGCATCTACACGTATGACTTCAACTTGCCGCCAATGTTCAAAACCTTGTTATAAAACTCCCGGTTCCCAAAGAGAAAAAGGATCCAAAAATAAATTTCATTGTTTACACACAATTTTTAGCCGCCCGTTCTGGAATAAAACTTCGCGTTTTTAAGCAAAAATCCCACCAAATTTCAACAGGGGGCGCAGAAAAGAAAAAAAAAAGCCAAAAAAAAACATGACGCCCACAGAAACAGAGAACGAGAGAAAAAAAAAACAAAAAACTACCACATAAGCAAAAACGATAAACAAATCAAGAAAAAGGGAATACAACTTTTAACTTTCATCAATTGAAATCATCAACTTCAGAGACAAAAAAGGAAGAAAAGAGTGAGTAGATGAACTTGGTTACGGCCATTTGTTTGTGTTATGCTTAACGAACAACTTGGCTCAAAAAGGCACGATTGGGGAGAAGAAATGAGACCTTGCGTTTGGGATTTGAATGTGGATTTTGCCCGTGTGTTTACTCCTTGAAATGTTGTTGTTGTTGTTGATGTGTGTGTATGGGTCTCTTGAACTTTAATGCTCATATGAGATTCAAAGAAACGGCTTGACGGCCCATTCAACTGATCATCTCTTGGTGGGCTGTCTCAGCCTCCTACTGTGTTCGGTTGCTATTTTGCCTTTCTTTTTTGTATTATGGGTGTGTTGATTGTTTTGATCTCTAGTTTCAGGGTGGCTGCTTTCCCTCAAGATTTTGATTTTGAAATCGAATTTTTTAGGGATGGTTATTGGGTCAACTGAAAACCACCAAAGGTTGTCAATGCTCTATTAAGCATGACTTTCTACATCTGGACAGAGGTCTTAACATTGACGCGTTTGGTTCGATACCTTTTCTGTCTCTAACCAAAAAGAAGCAAGTCAAGAAAGGCATCACGCGTATGATTCAGTCGACTTTAGCCTTCTGGTTTTTGTTTGAAACACAATGGCGTTCATCAAATTCCATCGTTTATACACATTCACCTCAAACTTCTTTTCAAGTGCCGTGCTTTTTTGTTGTGTTTTCGTTTCCTTTGCTGTTAACATACTAACCCATTCATAAGAGACACATCTCGAGTTTGGTTTTCTCCATTGAAGGTTTTCTTGTTATTTTTTTGTCCATTTCAATTCTACAGATTCAACCTTTCCATTACGATCAAAAGGTAAAGATTCACCCAGAACATTGAACTAAAGGAGTTTATCTTATTTTTTCCTGTTCTTGACTTCCTTTGATATATCTTAGAGTCGTCTTCATTTCCCAACATACGGTGATACAGCACACAAGCACATATATACATATCCGTAATGTCTCAACTTCCAACTGATATCAGAAGAAAGCTCGTCATTGTCGGTGACGGTGCATGTGGTAAGACATGTTTATTGATTGTCTTTTCAAAGGGTACCTTCCCAGAGATTTATGTTCCAACCGTTTTTGATAACTACGTCGCAGATGTTGACTTGGATGGTCGTAGAGTCGAGTTGGCCCTTTGGGATACTGCTGGTCAAGAAGACTACGATAGACTCAGACCTCTTTCCTATCCAGACACAAACGTTGTTTTGATTTGTTTTTCAGTGGATCTTCCAGAATCTTTGGCTAACGTTCAAGAGAAGTGGATCTCAGAGGTTCTGCATTTCTGTCATGGTGTTCCAATCATCTTGGTTGGTTGTAAGGTTGATTTAAGAGACGATCCTGCAACTATCCAAAGATTGAGAGATGACAACTTGGCTCCAGTGTCCGCTGCTGAAGGTCAAGATGTTGCTGATAAAATTGGCGCCATCAAATACATTGAGTGTTCTGCAAAGAAGAACTACAACGTTGATGAAGTGTTCAAGGCTGCAACAAGAGCTTCTTTGATGACCAAGGAGAAACCAAGTAAGAAGAAGAAATGTGTCATTTTGTAATCATTACTTGCTCCCATCATCTTTTAATGCTTATTGATGTGTTTATTATTTGTCGTCTAGCTACTTTACTTAACTTTTTTTTTCTTTATGTATGCTCTTTCACCGATCTACAGACTATGTACTTCACTATGAATATTTTATTGCCAGACTTTGCTTCAAAACAACCTCACGGTGCACTGTATGTCTTGTGTACAATACAGTTCAAACGTTAATTCTTTCAAGTGATTGTTTTAAAATGGCATAAGATCAGTGTTTTAAAGCTCATCAGTAACGGCAATTATTATACTGCCTATTGGGCTCATCCATGGTGCTGGTCGTCTCGTGTAATATGTTCAGAGGATCAGCGCACCACTCAAGGGGTTAGATCTTATGCGCTTTATGCCATCTCCCATTACATGGTCACACAGGATAGCAAGCTACAACTGCAAATTTAGCTACATCACATGCGTTTATATCACTATGAAACTCTCTACAATGTACAGTCTGTTGTGCGGATGATGAGGTGATTTATAGTTGGATTTCTTGCCAGTACGTTGTGGTGGTTTTGTTCTAGTGACGTTTAACCAAGGCTACGAACGAACAAATGCACATCAGTCAAATATTTGCACTACAGCAAGGACTTCTAACTGTACACAACCCTGAGTATCACATAAGCGGCAACAATCATAGAACAAATCTTGACACCCGAATAAGAAAAGACATGCTGCATGATACATACGAAACATTCTCGTTGAACATGTCTCAAGAGTTTATATATCATGTAATTCTAATGTTAAAACTGTGACTGAAGGCTTAATGCATATTAAGGACTCCAGAGTACAGATTTCACGCACATTATAAGCCAGGATCCTAAAAACATAGATCTTCATGATAAGCTAATGTTCTACTTTACACGTCGTATTAATCATGAAACCTCAAATTATTTTGACCTTTGTGGGTCCAATGTCTGTCAAACATACAGTAAACTGAAGATTATATGGTAATCATATGCCATTGGGAGTAACGATTCTGATAGCTGTTTGGAAGATATAACCCATTATTTGGTGATGTATGCATGTAAGATAACATTCTTTACATCGTTACGAGTGGATAGACGGCACTACAATACCGTTTCCCTTGATTTCCATTGAAGAGAAACCATATTGGATATGTCAAAAGGGTAATTTGCCCATTCATTTCACTGTGGTGTGAATCACTAAATGGGTACTACGGCATGAAACAACAACATTTCATTTTAATGCAATGTCTTGAGGGTAAGTGACCTGACTCTATAGATATTGGTTTCGAAACTTGTGATTAGAAGCAAATAACATCATATTTCCCAGATATTCTCAACAGCACATTCTCTTTGTTCAACTGGTTGGCATATTGTGGCACTCATGGTGACATAACGACTTACTCGTATATATTTAGCAACAAAACGATGATGGTTTTAGATGCAAAGATAGCTCGCAACATAGGCCTTTCAACGAAGCAGCACCTACAAATACTCAGTTTGCCGTGCAACACAGATTTCCTAAAGGATTTACGACGTCGAACCGTGATATTGTACGTGATTCTGTACGTGAAATATAAGGCTTGGAATGCAGTATCTACATTTTCGATGTACATCGTGCAACTCCTAGTTTCGAAAACTTTGATCCACACGCCCTGGCAAAGATAGTAGAGCAGGCTGCGTTGGAACTTGGCCTCTGAGAAAGAACCGACAGGAATACATTAAACTCTGAGCGGAAATATATGTAGCTGGTGCTTCAATGGCTTTGGCCAGTTGAATCAGGTAACTGATAAGGTAAAAGTTCTAGGGGATCTCTATATGGATGGGTGATCAATTCACACATAGCGCTGTGTAGCTATGCTCAAACGCTTATAGATTATCAGCTTCACAGCTCTAGAGATATTTGTTGCGCCTGGCTCTATGTATCAAGACGCACCATGGGATGCACATTTCAGCCTCAACAATTAAGCTTTCTCAAGTGATGTGAGGAGAAGCACAACTTACTACAAAGTTTAAACGCACCTTGAACTTCAATCATCGGGATTTGCTGAGACAGACAGTTCACTCCAAGATGCTATGTAATGTCATTCACATCCAGATGTTGGAGAAAGACACAAGGAGCACTTCAAAAGATCTAACAAGTGCTTTCAAAATGGTGCGCGGTATGTGCAGCTTCAGCTGTGCGACACATACCATTAGATCTCTGGGAGTTTTGCAAATTAACTTACGGCTTGGATTCCCTAAGTGGTACCTACCTCAAATTAAAATCTAGATGATGTTTAAGCATGCTTGCATACATTGCACAACCTCGAGAGCAAATAAGTTATCCTGATCAAAAATTTGGCAGACTGGCTTCATGATATCTTCAAACAGTTAAACTGATCGTTGCTCAGTGATATGTACATGCATATCCGTACGGATGTGATTCACTAGGACGTAAACAAAAGTGCCTCAAATTCAATGTATATGAATCACTTGAGCCTGAATTATTGATTTTCCCTACACATATATCCGAGTGCGCGTTTTCCCTAAAGGTCTTCGTTTTTGGTACCGATGGTGGCAGATGTGTCCAAGCTTCTACATTCCAGGCAGACCAAATTCTCTTAAAAACTTCGCCCTAATCATAATTCATTTGCAAACAAGATGTCGTCATTCTGGAGGTAACTAAGCCTCAATTAACTTAGAAAAGTCTAATATAGTTAGTGCACAGTACGCATACATCTGTACGGTTGTCTCTATGTAGAATACCTAACGTTATTGCGAGATCAAAATAGCTAAATATTATTTTCTGTGAACAAAGCTTTACTCTGAAGAACAAGTGCTTGTATCAATTGAAAGATATCTTAATAATTTTAACGCTAGTACACACACTGCACTGCCATGTAATGTGTCATTTCAGTTGGTGTTCCTCGTACTTTTTATACAATGAACAAATATATTTGATGGTGATTATAATTTAAATCATTACCAATGTATATGGTTCATCGCGTACAAGCTCCATAATCACATTCTGTGAAGCCTGCTTAGATAAAATGTATGGTACCCCATATGTGCATTTTCTTCTCTTTCCTAAGTGTTCACGCAGATCATTGCTGTATACATGATACAGATAACTTCTGTCGGATAAGCTTGCTTTGGTACCGGAGAACTTCGCCATGGGGTGTTAAATGTTGCCCAAAACTGATAAATCGTGTCGACTGATGAAGATGTTAGGGTGATCTGATTCTCTTGCTATATGTATCTACTTTACTAAATCTATAAAAAGAACAACCGACCGTGGCAAAAAAATAAGCTAATTTTCAAAATGTAATCTACGTGGAGATAAAGCTGTAATATTTCACTTTAGTTCAGGAAGGCTTGCCACTTAGGATCTTAGCCGTCATCTAATGGTGGTAACTGAGCGTTTATGTTTTCCGTATAATTCACAGATACGATGAAAGATAGACTGTTTGTGATATTACGCATACGCAATCCTTAGAGGACCAGTGGTTGATTAATTTTATTATTATTCCTGCATCCTTTGAATAAGTTCTCTGTACGTTGTGGACCAGTATATCGTATATGTATATCTATGTAAAACTCCACATACAAGGAATACCAGGCAGCCAACTCTTCCGGTGATCATTAGGTGTGCCTTTTTGCAGCACAGAATGTACCGTTACTTTGGGGGTAATATTGGCTAATCACTGCTAAACGCTGGGTTAGGGCTGGGGCCGCCAGAAAACTAATGAACAGACGAGCACAGCAGAAGTATTATCAGTAGGAATGTCCTAACACATATATAAGTATCGCTATGATAACAGTCGATTGAAAGAAGTTCTAGAACGTACGATCAGTAAGATTCATGTTGTATCCACAATCATCCTTCCCTCAAGGCGTGGAAAAAAAGGCGGAGATATATTCTCTAGTGAAACGTAGATCCTCGTTTCTGGTAGAAAGCTGCCTGGAAGAAGATCAATGCTTGGAAGTGTTGTAATCACAGATCCAACTCAAGTTATATTTGAACCCACTTATGGTCAATAGTTAAGAAGTAATCATTTTCATTGTCAGTCGCTCTTCTGACTATGGGTTCACACTTATATTATAAGGTTTGCCCTGGCTGTCATAAACGCTGGATCGAATTTTCTCAACATTTCTATGCTCCCTAGTCTTAACTGTAGAAGATTTTGAGATGGGCCTCGAATTATGACTGCAGATTGCACATGTGGGACGACATTTTCATTGATTAAATATTTAATGCAAACATTACATACAATCCTAAAGTATGAATAAGGACATACAATGCGGACATTAGAACCTGAAACCAAGCATCGGGTTCTCCAATTACAGCTGTCGACACCATCCACTTCCAGTGTATCGTCTATTGAACTCATAGTGCTCGTGTGGCTCCACTGACGGTTCTTACCAAGGGGTCACTGATATCTGTTACACTTGTGATACTTTCTCCGTGTCATTCAATTCGTTGCCTACTTTTCTGTTAATTCCAAGCACGGTTGTACTAGGAACTAATAGTACGAATTGAACAAATGAGACCTGTTAAAAGACATCATCGATCCTGGTAATCACACATCTTCAAAATGAGCGCCAGAGAACGTGCAGATTAGGAGCAGGAAATAGAGTTGCACCTTACATTGCTTACAGACTTACACTAAGGAAATCCCCTAGCAGTGGTTTTATATGGAAAACGTTCCAAAGCTTAAACTTCTCTACATGGATATTTTCTACGCCAATATTTGTATGGTGTGAGACAATTTTATTTTTTTTCTCCCGTGATTGATTCAAGGGTTAAGAGTTAGCAGAAACTTGGCAACCCCTTGCGCAATTGAATGAGAAACAGTGGTATACCTCTATTATTCCTTACCTATCGTGTATTGAGTTCGTCTATGCAAAAGAAGTGACAAAGTTACAACACATTTAACGTATGATTGTAATGGAGGGCTATTTGAACTTCACCAGCATGATGGCTGACGAGCTGGAAAACACCGTAAGGAATGGTTTAGGGGCGAAAACTTTTACTGAGAGGCAAATGTGCGCAAAACCGTTGTAAAATGCGTACAGATGTAAGCTGTAGCATATGTATACATATTAGGGGGTGCCAAACGCATCATGTAGCTGCATGATATGTATCAGTATGTGTACTTATGCGAACTATAAGATTAAAGTTGCTCTTATATGTAGATGATCACTTTGTATACCGCCCAAAAGTACTTCAGGATTGCATGTTGTTGCAGTATCAGCCTTATTGAAGTTTCCACGTTTTTCTTGAAGTTTAACTGGAAATCAATCCCGCCGCTATGGAAATTCCACTCTGTTTCTCAGTGCAAAAACGGTCATTAGCAAGTTGGGCATTGGGTTTCACCTCACCACGGACAAATTCTCAGGGATTAAAGGCCCAGTATTTTAACCTCGTCGTATACATGTACGTTTTCCTCATTCCTAATAAACCATGTTATCTGCTGATTTACAATTGATCGTTCGATCCTTATTGAAGAGCATAGCTGAATCTTGTTGGGTCGAAGAAGCCGGCTGATAAGTGATACATAAGCATACGTTTGGCGTTTGAGGTTGTGAACTCTCCACTCGCTTCTCCCCTAGCTCTGTGATATATATAGAGTACCACGACCACATATGTAGTATGTACAACCTAACGTACTTTACGTATGTAACCTTGGCTTAATGAAACACCCCAGTACGTACTAGGAAAAGCAATTTGGGAAATTTCCAGCGAGGTACTACTGCATCCTTTAAAGGCAAACGTAGCCAACCACAAACCAGACCCTTTTTATCTTCGATTTCAATCACCACCCCAGGTTAAATGGTGAACTGCCTCAAATCATATGCTTCCCGTGTTAAAATACTCACTGTTCTGTGATGTGTCGTTCCTTCTTTTTAGCCTTTTTTGCCTTCTCTCTCCTTATTCTTTCTTTTTCTCGTTTGCACTGTTTTACCTGTACAGCTGGGTGTGTAAAAGGTCTTCAAAATTCATAATGCTATGCACAGTTGAAGCAAACGTGCTGCATGACGTACGTTGTTGGGTAGTAAACTCTAATTCCATGGAGCAGCTTCTTTGATTTTTTCCCTTCCCGTCGAAGGCCAAAATAACAGCCTTCACGTCACACACAAAAAATTAGACGATGTTGAAAAATTATCAGGCTTTTTCCATTCTATTCCCTTCGTACAATCTTTCACCCCTCGGTTAACAATAGCAGGCATCTTTAAACAAACTGATTAAGAAAGGTTGTTAATCACCTTGGAGCTGATTAGAAGCCAGTGTGAGATATTTCCCGTGAGTTTGGGGGAAAATTCAAAAGAAAGAGAAGGGGAGCGACCTCAAAGAAAGATCCAATTGTCAAAATCTTTGTTCTGAAAAAATATCAAAAACACACACAGAGAGGTCAAACTACATTGAAAATCCAACTACTTTAGAAAGCAAGGATTTCCAACCCATAGTACGGTATTTATCTGTGACGAAATTACGAATCTAGAGATTGTTTCTTTGCAATATTCGGACGCCCCTTGGACCCAACGGTTTTACAAGGAATATTCTATACAGCCAATCTGGACATTTTCCTGTGTGTCTGTCCTTTTTTTTGTTAGTGGAAGACTGGTGAAACATTTAAAGTGGCAGCATTGTACTTTGTGGGCGGAGACGGTTTCTGATATCTGATATCACGTTAACATTCAACGATACTTTTATTTACATTCCATTTTGATTGAGGTCGGTTATTTGACAACTTTTTGATTTGGAGTTGCAGAAGTGGACGTTATCTCACACCCTTTTGAAGCATCAGTGCAACTGTTTGGACAAAGAGATCTGGAACAAAGGTGTGCGTGGCTTTTTTCTTCGGATAGTAATATAGATAAGGGGAAGAGGTCATCATACAAGAGTGAAAACACATTGATTGCTGTTAATCATGGATAAACAGAATACAAAGGTCTCTGACATTAAGCAATCACCCATGACTTTGAACACTCCGCAGCCCACACGAAAGGCTGCATTCGTCCACAAGCTATATGCAATGCTATCAGATCCTTCCCTTTCATCACTGATATGGTGGTGTGATGCAGATGGTGTCTTTGCGCTGGTACCTTGTACTGAATTTGCCAATGCTTTGACAAGTTATTTCAAGCATGGTAATGTCTCAAGTTTTGTACGGCAACTACACATGTATGGGTTTCATAAGGTTTTTGACGAGGAGTCGCCTAGAGGAGATGAAATAGTGTGGGAGTTTAAACATTCAACAGGATTATTCAGAAAGGGAGACGAAGCAAATTTAGGAAATATAAAGAGACGTTCTTCTAATAAGACTGTACCCGATGAGGACACTAGATGGACAACAGCTCAACCAATACAAGGTGTTCATTATGGTCTACAGCAACAAGGGATGTACTACGTGGGCTATCCATATCAACACGTCTACACTCAACAAACACACCAAGTTGGTCCGCAAGGCCTGCAACCTGTATACCAAATACCACCGCCACCGCCACCGCCTCATCATGCTCATCCTCAGGGGGTCCCAGTTGGTCCTCATGGTCAAGTACAACTGTTGCCACCAAGGCCACAGCAACAGCAGCAGCAGCAGCAGCAGCAGCAACGCCAACAGCAACAGCAACGCCAACAGCCGCAACATCAACAGCCACAACATCAACAGCCACAACATCAACCACCTGCTATACCTCAACCCACACAGACCACAGTACCATCAGCATTGCCACAGACGCAGACAACACCTCAGCAGTATCTACCACGGGAAGTTGCCCAACAAAAGGATACCATACCTAGTCGTAACTTGTCAGTTTCAATCCCACCTGAAAAGGTTGATGTTCCTGTACAGAGTCAGAGTCGTAAATCTCAACAAGGTCGCTCTTTAGAACGACCAATTGAACTCTTGAACCCTGATACAAGACATCAAACAAGTGAAATTCTACCTAAACTGGCGCCAACTTCTTATTCACAACCACCATTGTTTAAAGATTACATCAACTCACGTGCAACCAAGTTAAATGGGATCAGTGAATCATGGACAGACCGGAAATCATCAATCCATTTTTGGGAATCATCGGGTGCAACAAGACAGCGTTCTATATTTGTTGATCCTCTTGCACCTGTTACCTCGACGACAACGTCAACAGGACCTGCTGATACAACACCACAGTTGAGACCAGGCTCGTTACCAAGCTTGTACAATGCGCTTCCCCAGAACTCTTTAGGTTCTCCAATGACTTACCGCCGTAACGAATCCTTGCCAACACATTTAAACCCACCACATAGGAGTTCTCTGTTGAAGACACCTCCTAGATCTGTTCCTAATGATTCACCATCGGTTCAAACAGCTTGTGCACCACAATACCAAATACGTCCATCGTTGATTGAGTACAACAACTCCAATTTTGGCAATCCTGACTATCCGCACAGTTCACTCTCATCACAATCAACTATGTACTCCCATCAATCTTCGATATCTTCATTGTCTTCGAGAAACTCGCAGGGAAGTGTGACTCAGTACGTTCCATCGTCGATAAACTCACTGCTATCACCCTCGATTTCGAGCGAAATGAATACAAGGTCGAGTTCGATGTCTATGAGTACAGTCACAGAACGTTCTTCCAAGGTTGCAGTGAGCTCACTGCTGGAGAGTCCAAAATCTACAAGAGATGGTGAAAATACTTTACCTGCTAGTGCAAATCATGAACCAATGTTTAAGAAACCAAAGCACCAGTATTAGTGGCTCACGGTTATGAAGGATGTCTAATTGTTTTCATGTCATTTACTTCCAGCTCCAATGGTTGGAAGTCTTGTTCTTGTTGGTTTATGTTTAATTGCAAAGTATCATGAAACATCCATCCACGCTACGCACCAGTTGAATACGATCCGTGTATGGTTCATATATATTCATTCTTTGATGTTTGATGTTTTTCCCCAGTACTTCTGTTTGTTTGTGAAACGCTATTGTTTTTGTATATGTCTTTGTTACGCTTATTTATGACCCAATTGTTTGATATTTCTAGATCCAAAATCACCCTAATCATATAGCACATGTGTATTCATTACCTGTTACTTGATTCTCAGGTTCAGTGGCATTGTACGCTGCTCATAACGCTTGGATAGTACAAGAACAGTCATGGTATGACTGTCATTTATCTAGGAAAGACTTGTAGCCCTTCTTCTTATTGGACCTCACTACAACTTCTTCATCCGAACTGTCACTAGAGTCTTCCTGGTGCCCCTTGGAATGGCCATGTGGTTTAGCCTTCTTCACAGGCTGACGATCAGCCAGTCTAGTGCTTTTCGACCGCTGAGCACTCCTACTGCTATTTCTCATCTGATTCCTCAACGCATGGAGTGCCCTTGATGAACCCTTGTGTATCGCGCCCTTGTGATCCACACCCTTCACAGTCTTGGACTTGACACCGGTGGCTATAAATTCACCTATTGTACTCTGTCCATCCAGCGACAGTCCCTTGCCTTCTAACAGTATCGGCAGGTCTAGAAAGTCCTCAGATGACTCTTGCTTATTAGAACCATCACCATCAGCTGCATCCGACGATAGCCCAAGCCATCCAGCAGCAGCGTTTCTCGACTCGCCTAGAGCAACTTGGAACTTGGCCTGTATCTCCTGTTTCTTCTTGATCTCCTGTACCCTTGACATGGCGGTAAACGGCCTCCTAAACACACCCAACAGGTAATAAGTAGCACCATTTTGTGTGTAATAAAAGACACTGCGATGCACTAAAAAAGTTTATACGCAATTTCTGGTGTTTGGGTGTTCTTGTTGTGGCCCGTAACCATTTTGAACCCCCCCCAGCACCCCTTTTTTCTGTATGTGCTGCGTGTGTACAATTTTGTATTCAAGTTCCCTTCAACTCTGTAAGAGACGGATTTTGAAGCGTGAAGAGAAACATATTACTTAAAAGACACTGGATGGAGACGTTAGATCCGGGAACTGCTGTCCGTGTTGGTCAGCATACCGTGGAGGTAGCAGGGTACTTAGCAGAAGGTTAGTATGCACACATTCGGAACATTCCAATTCTGGGGTCTTTGTTCTTTTTGGAGCCGGACCAAGGCAGCCTTTTGATTGGAGAGTCTGTGCCATTGTCTTGTTTGTCATATATCAGGTCAATGTCCTGATGGAGCAATACTGACATAGCCAATGTGCTTGTAGGTGGATTTGCCCGTATATACACAGTGAAGCTGAAACCAGATGATAAACCAGCGTGTCTGAAAAGGGTTATTGTGAAGGAGAAATCGGATCTAAACCAATTGAGGAATGAAGTTGATACTATGAAGAGGCTAACGGCGTGTCCATACATCGTTCGCTATTACGACTCAAACGCTGAAAAGTTGGCAGACGGTACTTATGAAGTGCTTGTGCTGATGGAACTGTGCTCAAGCGGTTCCCTGTTGGACTACATGAATGCCAACATCAAGACAAAATTGGACGTTGGTAGAATTACAAAGATAATGTACCAGATAACAACGGCACTTGATTACATGCACTCAAAGAATCTGATCCACAGGGACCTGAAGATTGAGAATGTATTGCGAGATTCTAACGGCGTCTTCAAACTGGCTGACTTTGGTTCAGCGAGTTCCTTCATGCCACCTCCGAAGAATCAGGAGGAAGTTCAAATGGTTGCGGCTGATATCATCCGGAATACCACCCCTCAGTATAGAGCCCCAGAAATGATCGATCTGTACAAGAGCTTACCAATTGACAATAAATCAGACATGTGGGCATTGGGTGTCTTCCTCTACAAGCTGATGTACTACACAACACCTTTCGAAAGTCAAGGTGAATTGGCTATATTACACGGTTACTTCCAATTTCCCGAGACCATGCAATACCCTTCAAGGTTAAAGAATTTGGTGATTATTATGTTACAAGTGAATCCAATCATAAGACCTAACGCTTACCAGGTGTTGTACGAGATATGTGATATGATGGGAGTCCCTGTCCCAATTGAAGACCATTATGGACTGGGTCGATATGAATTCTCTGTCTACGAAAAATATCAAAAACATGTTCAAAGAGTTCAACAAGAGCAGTTGGAATTGGAACAGAGATATCTCATGAGAAGACATCAAGAGCAAAATACGGGACTGAAAGTTGAACCTCAGGTGCATCCAGATGAACCTAATGATTCATTACAGGTTCCAAATCAATACCCAAATCAGATTCCAAGCCAAATTCCAAGTGTCCAACCTGTTACAAATTCTGTACCAAATGGTGTGCCAAGTGCACAATCTGTTCCAAAGTCTGTGTCAAATACTTGTAAGAAGTCATCATCAACTGAAACAACAAAAGAGCTTGAGCCTCCAATGGGAGAAGGCAAGTCTTTTGAGTCTGACGCTTTTGTCCCATTACCAATGCCACCTAACAAAGTTGGTACAGTGGATGACGGCATTAGGTTTTCTGATATTCAACCTCAGGAACTATCACAGTCTTCCAAATCAAGTGTTCGTAATCTGCCTTTGGATAGAGAAGAAGAAAGCAGTTCTGACTCTGATTTGGAAAACGTTGAAGATAGATTCCCAGATCTGGATCAGTTGGATGCACTGGATGATATGGGTCAAGGTGTGGATAAAGATTACATATCAACAACTCTGTTGGCAGCAAAGAGTGACAAATTGAACATAAAAGGTGGACAAACAAAGGAACGGTCAAATATGGCTGCTGAGCATGGTGATACTGAACCATCTGGACCTAGTGATATCTCAATCAAGTTATCAAAGACGGAAGCATGGACGATTAGCGAAAAAGAAACAAATAACAAGGAGGGCCATGACAAGCATGATGATACTGATGCTGACGTTGATGTTTTCCTCAAGAGTCCGGTTGCAACAACTATCACACCGGCATCGAACGATTTGAATCCCACAAAGGGTGATCACTCTGAGAGCAATGCTTCCGTGTTACCAGAACTATCAGTGAAATCACCAGACGTGGAAAGCTCTAAAATCGAAAGACCTTCTCTTATTCCTAAGAACTCGTTTGATCAACTATTTGACTTTGAAGATTCTTCAGCAGCTCAACAAACACCAAGGGAGGCTTCATTATCTCGTAACCCATTCCCAACTGGTAGAAACCCATTCCCAGTGAAGACTAATCTAAGCACATTGGACGTTAAGAAGCCGGTTCTTCCACAAGCCTCTGGTGGAAATCCTTGGGCACAATATACTCAAAGTGCATATCAGTCACAAGCGTCATTTAGTTCTAAGGCACCATCGATCAACCAAGGTACAACGGTTCCATATGTACAACCACCTTTGCGCCAAGCACTTCCACAGATGCCACCAGCACCACAACAGCGAAAGCATCAAATGACCATGCAGGTTCCTGTTCAGGTTCCTGTTCAGGTTCCTGTTCAACAACTCCAACCGCATGTTGCACTGCATGTTCCCCCACAAGGGTCCAGAACGCCCCAATCACAGGCTCGTATACCACAGTCATCGGTCCAGATGACGAAAGCCGATTCCACAGCTCTATCCCCTACACTTCTTGCATCACACCAGGGGAATCTTATCGATATGGATACGAACAATGTGAAGGAGAATAGACCAAAGTTGAACTTGGAGTTGCTGGACCTCGATATCACTGGTAAAAGTTCCACTTCACGGTTAACAGTGGATGAGACCGGAGACGATGGTGATAGCTTAAAAGTGGAAGTGGTGCCAGTTCGTGGACCAAAGCCTACAAGATCTCCAAGGACCTCTACTGAGTTGCAGAGACTAAAATTCACTATGGAGGAGCTCGATTTGGATGATTCACAATCACCTCCAAGCAGTAGAAACTCGCTGAGTATGAAAAGAAATGTTTCCAAACAGGAGAATCGTAAGTCATGGTTCAAATAACAGAGGCTGGGAGTGAGGATCTCGTAATTTGTGCATATCTCAATAGAGGAAATCGTTTTTAATGGTTATAATAACCCGTAGATGATAGTGATGTATGACTTATCGGAAAATAGATGTCGGAATTTTCCGACCTCTCTCGTTTCCAGAATTGCGACATGGGAATAGGGGCTCGCGCGCGTAAAACTGGTTTATTTACTTTCATTTACAACATCTTTGATGCTTCTACTTTCGACGCTTAGCGTAAGAAGCTCTTTGATAAGTAATTGTCGTGTGTTTTCCTCCGCTTGTTACGCTCATTCACTTTCGATAGCTGTTGCGTGTGTGTGTGTGTTGTTTCCTCCAACTTATTTGCTGCACTGAATTGTTGATTCAACTGCTTGTCGTCTTCCCATATACCTCTTGAAAGTAGATTCGCACTGATGGCTGGAACATTTGAATACTATCCAACGAACGAGGAACGCAACAAGAACTCGTACTTCCTCGTTGCAACACTTAGACACGTTTTTGAAAAGTTATACTGGATGTACTATATCCATCTTCCCTACTACCTCATGGAGTCACAAGATGCATTTGTACTACATTTGTTCTTCCTCACGTTATTCAGTCTATGTATCTATGCGGTGTTCTCCTATTTGCCACATTCATTAGTGGTCTGGTTCACAAGAAGCTATTACTATCTAACGGGTGATGATTTCAAAAAAGTGCTCATACATTATGGGTTTAACGCATAGTTCCACGTCAACATATCACAGGCACCATTTGAACTTAAGAAATGAGCCACCGTGGGTGGCACCACTGTACAAGTGTTATTAGCTTTCTACTGCAAAAATACGCAATTCCCATCAATAATCACTTGGTTTCTAGTCTTGAATTTAACCAGTAGACAGCTTAACACGTAGTGAAATTTTGGTGATGCGACATTGGCGAAAATTTTAAGTGTATACCAAACATCGCATCCGAGAAGCTCGCCATTTTAAGAGAAAGAAGAAGAAGAAGTACCCCCAAGAAAAGATGCTTTCATTCTGTCCGAATTGTTCCAATATGCTTCTGGTGAGTTCTCGTACATGGGAATCATTCAAGGTTCTTTCACTAACGGAGGGTTTATAGATATCAACAGCTGACAGTGGAATCCACAGACTAACATGTCCCACATGTCCATATGAATTCCCTATAGCAGGTGTAGAGATATTTGATCGTAAGGAGCTACCCCGTAAACAGATCGATGATGTGTTGGGAGGTGATGGTGCTTGGGAAAATGTGGATCAAACAGCAGCACAGTGTCCTATTGATAGTTGTGGTAACGATAAGGCATACTTCTTTCAATTACAGATTAGATCGGCAGATGAACCAATGACAACTTTCTACAAATGTACCAAGTGTGGCCATCAATGGAGAGAAAACTGAGCATGGTTTCATTCCTGTGCGTTTACATGTATACTATCTATAAAAATATGTATTATATCAATTAATCTGGGCCATTATGGAGCACTTGGAGATGGGTTACCAAAGAAAAGGATTACAGCTCTCATCTGGCTTGACTAGACTCTCAACACTAAACAATAGTAGCACTCCAAGCTGTTCTTCTTGATATTCTTTGGGTGAACCATTTGTGGTAGGTCTTGTAAGCTTCTCTATGACTCAGCTAAAGCGTTCAGTTTACCGTCTTTCTCAATGTGTAACGATCTCTAATGAGTTTGTAAGGCTAAGACCCAGGTTTTACCTCTATACAGTTAGCGTTATACGGCGAGATAAACAAACAAATCGCCCATGTCATGTCATATTCACCCATTAACGAATCACTAAAACCATTATTCTTGTTTCTAGTGTTGAACGGTTGTAGAAGATGATATTGAACATTATTCTTCACCTGGTAGTGGTTCATGTCATATAAGAGTTCATCATAATATCAAACTATGACGCAAGCAATCCATATGTCTATATTTGTAAGGATTTTCATTGAAAAACCTATTCCTAGATGCTGGGGTCCTAAATACGTCTGATGCTTTCAGATTCTCGTCACTTTAATTAGAAGCCAATTGAGACTTCGAACCATGTTTGATGTACACGCCGCTGTTTTAAGCCTCTGTTGGTTAAGCCCATACATCTCCTCAAATTCTAACCATATAAGCATGTCAAAAGTGTCAATCAAACTCATACTCAGTGATCTGATAACTCTGTACCACCATGGCACATATACCTTCAAGGTTAAACGTCAATAGGAACTTGAAGCACTGGTGTATAAGAAAGAGACCCCATCTGTAACACACCTCCATCTTTAGGTAGTGGAGACTCCTTCCATTCCATTCTAGCACTTAAAGAATGCCACTGGATTCTATGATCATTTGAATCCTTCTTCACGAACATTGGATTTGCATTAGAAATACCTGACCTGACACTTGCATCGACTGTCCAACTGCTCCTATACACACGTTTGGTTCTTATCTCAATATCCGCTTCAGAACATACCAGTACGCCGGCTGATACCACTTACACAACCTCATAAACCTCATTAAACGTACCGACACTGTCGTATCGTCGTTGGAAAAGTGCTTAACCACCTGCTCCCTGTACGCATATCATCTATGACACATACTGAACAAGATCTTGACTCTCATGCAAACACCATGATTCTACAACAATGGGTTGTAACTACTACAGCTTTACCCATTGATAAAGTTAGACCAGACATTTCCTACTAACCGGCAAGGGAAATCGGCCTCTATTTATACGCTGTTCTCTGCGTGTGTTTTTAACCTCATCGTCATCTCTTTTGGGCTTTAGAATACACCGTGTACAACGAACAAAAACCACAGTGTTTACATCATCAACAACCAAAAAAATATACATAAAAAAACATACAAGAACACATCCACAAAATCAATTCTTAAGACGGCGTTTGAAAACAATAAACAAATCGACAACTAAATGCTTCTCCAATCACGTTTAACTCGTCCAGTTTTGAGCTCCTTAAGAGCAACCAAGGCCACAGCGCTACGTTTCCAAAGCACCATCAAAGAGGTTGAGAATTTGCAAAAGTTCAGAGAACTCATCGACAGTCCAAAGCTTACAATTACTGATTTCTACGCCACATGGTGTGGGCCTTGTAAGGCGATCTCACCAGTTTTGGAGAAGTTCAACCAGGAGTACACGGATGTTCAATTTTTGAAAGTTGACGTTGATCAGGCCCAGGATATTGCCATGGAGTATGGCATCACTGCCATGCCAACGTTTGTGCTCTTCAAGGATAACGATGCCCTTGGTAAGATCGTTGGTGCCAACCCTTCGGCTTTGAAGAAGGCAATCGAAGAGTACAAATGATCACACAATGGGTGTATGAATACATATAAGGAAATAGGTATATCCATCGGCATGTATACGTTTTATATACAAGATATTCTCGTCTTCTGTAGAGAAAAGGAGAGAGAAGGAAGGAATAAAACGGTGGCTAAAAAGCATTCAGCAAACATTATTGCAAGTATAATAGTAATCATTTGTCATTTCAAGTCATTCCAATGTGTTGATCGGTTGTCTGTTATCAATATATAGCGGGCATTGAACATGTCCCATGCTTTTTGTCAAGACTGATTTCATCCAAAGAGTTTATCCCTTTTGATAATTTCATAACGTTCGTTAATCTCATTTGTAAAAGTATCATTATCCATTTGTAAAGTTTCCATATCAACGTCATAATCTCTGCTCCAGTTGATACGAGGGCATTTTATACAACTTCCTGTGTATTCAATTTCCCTTAGGTAGTCCCTATTGGTGTTGATCAACGACACCACTTCTTTAACGTCTGAAACTGTACGGATACAACGTTTCAAGTTCACAAGTTCCTTCATATCCCGTTGTATTTGAAGAGATCTACTCTTCAACAAATCTAATGAACTCTTAAGTGAGATATAATCAACGTTATCATCCAGAGGTGAACTTTGGAAGTTTATCAGCTTCTCGCTCTTTGAAATTTTCCCCAGATCAATAGCAGATGAAGCATTAGCATCATGAGACAACTCCAGCTTGGACTTCTTATGGACAACTAAACTGTCATCGTCCTGGTTGTCGTGTCTATGCGTCTTCTTATCGTTCGGCACGTTAAACTGTGACGGCATTGGAACGACTAAACTGGTCATGTCTTCACTTCTTGGTTGGACTTT